GTACACCACGGGAAAAGGGCCCAGCAGAAGAAAGTTGCTCAGCTGGTAGTGGAGTCCGGAAGCAGAGAAAGGGAAAGGGGGAAGGTGCCACAGGGAAGAGGCACATTTCCAGGACACGCCCCCAGTGACCCAACTCCTCCAGCCACACCCCATCTGCCTACAACTGCCACATTCAAACTAGTATGTACCGATTAGGTTACAGCTCTCATAATGTAATCATTTTACCTCTGAATATTCCTGCATTTAAGGACGACTCACATCCAAACCATAACAGTATATTAAAAAATCTTATTATATTCTTTACTCTATTTCTTCTGTTGTACTCTTGGAAGCTATAGGTTGAAGTTGTAGAACCATAACTTAAAAGAGTCTTGACTCCCTTGATAATCACTTGAGAGGAGAGCTACCCCACCAGGAACATCCATTTTGGCCTTTACATGAGGAAAAAAAAAAAAAAAAAAAAAAAATATATATATATATATATATATATATATATATATATATATATAATGAGATTTTGGAGTTTAACTATTATAGCAATTAGCATTATTTAACAAATTCAGAAACTGGTGTTAGAAGCATAATATTACCAACACAACAGCAACCAAAATAAAACATAAAAAAGGGGAAATTTATTTGGGCTTAGTAATCAGGCAGTAGGAATCAAGAATACACTTAACAAGACAAAAGGCTGGACAGCCCTATAATTCTGTGAGAAAACATCTGGTAAAACTAGAACCTATAGTAAGTAGAAAAGCATACCAAATGCCAACTGGTCCTGTAGCACTATGAGTGAATAAAAAGAGTTACAGTGTCCAATTGGCATTTACTTTCTGCTTTAATAAGGTATTACATAAAAGAGATAAGCTATAAAAGTCTTCATTAATTTGCAGACTGAAATTATAGGAAATAGAAGACATCCAGAAACTTGAGCCTCAGAGATTTAGAAAGCTCAACACATATAAATTCTAAACAGTAAGTGAAAAGAATAAGGATTGAACAATAAAACTCCAGGAAGACTTCTAGCTGAACAAAGTGACTCAATTCCGATGCAGAGATCAGATTCAAATATGGTCTTCCCATCCACTATTTCGTATAGCCTCAAAGTAAGACCATTAAACCAAAATTAGGCATGAGGCAAGCCCTATGCTTCCCCACCTTCACTAATTCTCTAAACAGGGAAAAAGAAAAATAAAACCATTCTTGAAAACTTTATTTAGGAAACAACATTGGGTACGATGTTCACACAGAACCCACTGGAAAGAAACAGATCAGAAGCCTACCAAGTTTCAAGGGAAGTATAATGCCCAAAACACACAAATCTGGACTAAATTAACCTTTGACTGTTCAGAGCCTTAAAACAACCCTCAGATCCCTAAACTTGCAGGAGCAGAAAGCAGGGAGAGTAAGACAAATATAGATGTAATTGTAGATATAGATATAAAGAGAGAAAGAAATATGCCTTCTAATGAATGTATATTCCCCAGAATTCACTTCAGGAGTATATGCAGGGGGAAAAAAACTAGTGCACAACTAGAAGCATAGCAGAACAATGGAAAAAGGAGTTCCTTCTAGACAATCAAGGTCTAAGCAAAGAAGTTCCCCTACAACAATCCTGAGGGACTTCCTAATGCCTACCCAAGAGGACCAAATGATTTGCTAAGGAGCAGGGAACAGTTTGCCTCCTATTCTTTCCTTTCCTAAATGGAAGTTTTGTTTGTAGTTATTTTTATTCTAGCTTTTTCATTGTGTATTGGGGACAAGAGGAGACACAGGTACAGATGATTTATAATTTCAGTTAACTGGTCATCAGCCCATGAAGAGCCACATATGGACCTAATGGTGGGGGAGGAGGTGAGCATTCCTGAAAGATACTAGACTTTTTTTTTTTAATTTTTATTGTTGGTTGTTCAAAACATTACATAGTTCTTGATATATCATATTTCACACTTTGATTCAAGTGGGTTATGAACTCCCATTTTTACCCCGTATACAGATTGCAGAATCACATCGGTTACACATCCACTGATTTACATATTGCCATACTAGTGTCTGTTGTATTCTGCTGCCTTTCCTATCCTCTACTATCCCCCCTCCCCTCCCCTCCCCTCCCCTCTTCTCTCTCTACCCCATCTACTGTAATTCATTTCTCCCCCTTGTTTTTTTTTCCCTTACCCCTCACTTCCTCTTGTATGTAATTTTGTATAACCCTGAGGGTCTCCTTCCATTTCCATGCAATTTCCCATCTCTCTCCCTTTCCCTCCCACCTCTCATCCCTGTTTAATGTCAATCTTCTTCTCATGCTCTTCCTCCCTACTCTGTTCTTAGTTACTCTCCTTATATCAAAGAAGACATTTGGCATTTGTTTTTTAGGGATTGGCTAGCTTCACTTAGCATAATCTGCTCTAATGCCATCCATTTCCCTGCAAATTCTATGATTTTGTCATTTTTTAATGCAGAGTAATACTCCATTGTGTATAAATGCCACATTTTTTTTATCCATTCATCTATTGAAGGGCATCTAGGTTGGTTCCACAGTCTTGCTATTGTGAATGGTGCTGCTATGAACATCGATGGAGCAGTGTCCCTGTAGTATGCTCTTTTTAGGTCTTTAGAGAATAGACCGAGAAGGGGAATAGCTGGGTCAAATGGTGGTTCCATTCCCAGCTTTCCAAGAAATCTCCATATTGCTTTCCAAATTGGCCGCACCAATTTGCAGTCCCACCAGCAATGTACAGGTGTACCCTTTTCCCCACATCCTCGCCAGCACTTGTTGTTGTTTGACTTCATAATGGCTGCCAATCTTACTGGAGTGAGATGGAAGATACTAGACTTTTGAGATGAATGTTGTGACTAAGTGGGCCACTGGATTCTCTCCCTTAAGGAAGGGGTGGGTGTGTTCTACAGTTATACATAGGGCAGAAGGTGAAGAGACTGGCTTCTATTCACCAAACTCTGTCCTCCTCATCTTAGGGACAAAGTGAGATTACATTTCCCAATCTTCACTGTAGGTAGGTATGGCCATGTTAACTGAGTTTTAGCCAATGCAATGCGGGCAGAAGTAATAATGTGTGAAATTCATGCCTGTCCCCTTAAAAATCCTCCCACATGCGATACTCTTTGGTCTTTCCCTTATGGTTGCAATCTTCAAAGACTAGTATACTAAAGACAGCAGAGCCACACAATGGAAAGAGTCTAAATTCCTAAATCACCATTGTGGGGGGAAAAAAATCACAAGTCAGAAACACCATTTGGGGCTTTATATAGGTGAGAAATAGACCACTTCCTTTCCTTCTTTTCCAATATCCATGAATTAAAATATAATATTAAACATTCACTAAGTATGAAGTATATGGTAATTCCTCTCATATCATATCTTTACTTTCTAGGTACTACAGAAGATTGAAAAATACAAAAGATATCTTTATTCAAGAAATGTGTGTACATATACATGCACACACATACACATCTGTATGCATATATCATATTAGGATAATAATTCATACAATAAGAGCTATTCCTGAGATGAAAATTTTTATAGGGGGAATAAAGACCTAATAAAAGTCTGAATTTATAAAAGATTTCTCCAGCATTTCTTTGTATGACAAAAATGAGGCAAACAGCCAATCATTTACACAGATTGAGTACCACAGTAGATATATTCATTTCAACCTGACATGAATTCTGCTAGAGGATCCAATTTTACAAGTGATTTGTTTGAACTTCAGCAACTCTCTCAACTTCCCCTGAGCATTCATTTCTTCAGAATATTAAGGAATATTAAGGAATGAGACCAGCTAACCTCATATTAAACAAAGAAATAGTGTTCTTAATAGATTCTTTCATCAAAAGGGAAGTAAAGTTAATTTCTTACCCAGAGGCCTAGGAAAAACATCCTTTAAAAAGACAACTTCCACACTCACCTATTTTCAAAGTTTGGCAAAAATCAGTAAACCATAGTTGTTAAAGATTTGTACCAGATACCTGTCTTCCTATACCCAGCAATGCAAAGTTATATTTTCAATGATTACTTTTTGTTTCTTTATCATTATAAAAAAATCATATAATTATTTCTATCAGGCTTGTCATTAACTAGTTTTAAACTGTAAAGTGCAATGCTAACAAAATTTTTAAAAAGAAAATATCTGCAGTGCCTTAGTAAAGGGTAATCGGCAAATCTCTTGATCCAAATATAATCTGTTCCCTCATTCTCCACAGAATGATAAGAACTACAAATGACCTATTCAAAAACACTGTTGTTATAAAACCAAAAAACACTTTCCATAAACAACTAAATCTTCTATTTATGGTTGTAGGCTACATCATCAGGTATACTGAGAAGTTTTAATAAAATCAATGTGGCTTAAATTTTAAAAAGTAAGTACTACTGCAAGTCATTACTACTCTTTTATTCATAATGACAAAAGAAATCCAGATGTTCTTTGCAGCTTTCATGACTTAAGAGACAAAGATTTTTTTAAAAAAATCTAAATATTTCTAACACATTTATTAATTTGTCAGCTATAAATATATTCCTTTCTGTGATCATGATTCACAGCATTTCTCAATAGAAAAATTTACCTTTTAATATCAGAAATACCCATATAAAATATGTCATATTGCTTACATAGTAGATAATCCTGCCAAAGGCACATGCAACATAATTTAGATAATTAACTATAAAAAGAACTTTAAAATACTATGAGCATCAAATCATAGCCAAAACCAAGGGAAGTATTTTTTAATTAATTTTCCTCAATTCTCCAATATAAATCATCATAACCAATCAGTATTTACTGACTATCCACAGAGCAAAACCATATAATAGTCAATAATTCATTGCTCTGTTAAGACAATAAGAAAGGTTTTTAATCATGTATTCCCAAAGACAAAGGACTTCCTTAAAATGATAAGAAACAGGACATTTGGCAAAGAGAAACCCATGTTTAACTGAATACTTGCAAAGTCATTGGCCAACCTATCACAAACCCAAGACCTACTTGCTTCATGGCAGTCTCTCCAATTTTGTCTGAATGTTTGCGGATGCTCTCCAGAAAGTCTTTGAGATCAGACATAGAAACATCCTTTATTTCTTCTCGAAGCTTGGGAATGTTATCCACCATCACCTTGCAGAATCGATAGTGGCTTACTTGAGGCAGATAGGTATGTTCTAGATGTTCCAGAGTTTTCAGTGCAGGATAATGCCTACAAAAGGAATTTATCACCTTTAGCTGGACTTTTAGTCTTCTTTAGGGTCACAGACATATTCCTCAGTAAAAATTTTTAGGCTAAATTAGTTTTCACTGTACATTAGATAAATACAGTTTTAACTAAAACATCAATGAAAAAAATCTCATTAAAAAATAACATATGCTTTCAAAGACTAGAAAAATATAATCAAAAAGATTTTATCAAAAAATGTGTAAAACTTAAAATATCTAATAAGGAATTAATTACATAAAGATTAAAATAATTTTTAAAAGATCATCTCAGTGACCAAAAAAATCATCCTATAAAACGAAGTACTGAAAGCTACACTTCTACTACAGCAGAGTAAAGAAACTGGCAAATTTTCTACCCAAGAAAAAACAAATATACACTGGACAAAACTACCAAAAACAACCATTTCAGAGTTCTGGAAATTGAACAAATGAGAACAACAAATCCAGAAATGTTTATTCATGAGAACTGCTCAACAATGGGGCTCTTGTAGTAATCTTGCCTGGGGCTACTTCCATCACTCACCTACCCCTACCAAAAACCACCAATTACCCTTCTACTGGTCATTAGTCATAGCTAGTCATGAAAACTTGACATTAGGGAAGGACATGATTTGGAGCGGAGGGTGAAAACCCCATATTTGAAGTAGTAAACTCAATAAAAAAATTAAAATTAAAATATGAATAAGGAAAGTCTCCAGCTCTACTTGTCTAAAGTTGCAGTCTGGGTTGGGGCAAAGGGCAGACTGAAGAAAAAAATTCAAAAGGAAGGTCATAGAAAGAACATATAGAGAGAGGCTCTCTGCACAGCTCTAGCTGTCTGACTGTGCAGACATACATGGGACATCTAAAAGGGCCTAAGCACCTCACATGTGCCTGGCGGACTAGGAGGCTATAGGTACATACATAGGCCTATCAGAAAGTAAAAACTCAAGCACACTTGGAACCTACCTGAATTTTTTAAACATTTTTATTGCTACATTATTATTATACATAATTATGGGATTCATTATGCCATATTCATACATGCACATAACATATGTGATCACTTTCATTTCCCTCCCCTTCACCTCCCTCCCCCTAATCCACTTGCTCTATTCTACTCATCTCCCTTCTATTATTATGATTATTACTTCAATTAGTACATTATATAAATTATATGGGATTCATTGTGGTATATTCATACATGGATACAGTACAATTTGGTAGATTTCATTTGCCAGTGTACTTCCCCCCATATCCCCTTCCTATACCTAAATTTTTAACTCACTCCATAATCCACATACAAATCTATTGGCAAAGAGTGGAAACCAGCTTAAGTTTGAGTCCAGCCTCTGACCAATCATTAGCTGATGATATCCTTTAAAAATAAAAGTGAAATGAAATACATTTTCAAATAACAGACAGATAATGCCTTGCTAGCCAACTTGCCTTACAAGAAATACTTTTAAAGAAAGCTCAAAAAGAAGTGACAAGAGTTACTTGAATTCAGACAACAATGAAGAGCATAGGAAATAATAAATGCATACTGATTATAAAATATTAAATATACATATTTCCAGCCTACCTTAATCCCTGGAACTCAGAAGGCTGAGGCAGGAGGATTGAAAGTTCAAAGCCAGTCTCAGCAATTTATCAAGGCCCTAAACAACTTAGTGTGATCTATTAAAAACCAGAAAGCGCTGAGGATGTAGCTCAGTTGTAAAGGGCCCTGGGTTCAATCCTCAGTGACAGAAATTTATATAAATACACATACATATATATGTTACTATGGTATTATATATGTATACAATATGTATATTATATGCATACACATATACACACATTTTTCTCTTAATTTCTTCAGAAGATAAGGTATTTTAAAGTAATACAACACTGTATTGTTTGGCTTATAAAATATACGGATGTTATATGTGAACCATAATATAAAAGATGAGTGAAGAAAGGAGTTAGGATGAAACAGAACTATAACTATGTATATCAAATTTGTAATGGCATAAAGTAAACTATGGTAAATTAAGATGCATATCATAATCCATAGAGTAACTCCTAAGAAAGTAACTCACAAAAAAAAAAAGCCAACACTGCCAGATGGAATTTTTTTTAAGCATAATCCAACTGATTTCTCTCTGAAAGAAATATAATTTAGATTCTAAGACACAAATGAACTGAAAGTAAAAGATGGAAAATGATATACTAAAAAAATAGAATAGCTATGTTAATATGAGATACAAAAGATTTTAAGACCACAAATATTGCTGACAACCCAGAGAAACATTTAATATTAATAAAAGATATAGTATTTACCTTATTGGCCATAAAGCTTTCATAAGCATGGGAGGATAAATAAAGCTAAGATTGAAAAAACTAATGAAAACAAAGTTAGTCATGCATAAAAAGAACATAGGAATTTGGGCAGGGATGACTACTGAGGATGAACTGAGGGGCAGTCAACTACTGAGCCACATCCTTAGCCCTATTTTGTATTTTATTTAGAGGCAGGGTCTCACTGAGTTGCTTAGCACCTTGCCTTTGTTGAGGTTGGCTTTGAACTTGTGATCCTCCTGCCTCAGGCTCCTGAGCCACTGGGCTTACATGAACATAAGAACTTTAAAGGGGAAATAAACTGGTAAAGATTATTTGTAATGCATATATAAAAGATTAATAACCTTTGGTTGTTGCTTTTTTTTTAAGACTACAATTGGGGCTGAGGATGTAGCTTAGTGGCAGATCATATGCTTATCAAGCACAAGGTCTTGTTGATCCCCAGTACCACAAAAATAAATAATTGAATAGAAATAAACAAAGAGAATTCACATAAAAAATGGAGAAATCAACATATAAAAACAAAAGTTGAACAGAAGATTAAAAAATGCAAATCAGAAACAGAATTTTATCATTCAAACTGCCAAAGATTCCCTAAAAGATAATGTCTATTATTATCAGTATTGTAATAAATGAAAATGCACAGCCTTCGGGTGAACAAGTTTTCAATGAAGAATGTTGGCAAAAACAACTATTTCAAACATAACATGTCCATGTATTAAAGAAATAGTAAAAAGTCTGTAATACTGTTAAATGAAAATTATTTCAAAAAATAAATTTAGTACTTATCAGCCTTTGGGCTAAGATCAAGTATAATATTTGTTTTTATCGGTGTCATAACTGATATGTTCTCTATCTATGGACAATGTATCAAATGAAATTTTTGGAGTAGGGAGATGGAATGGGAGCCTGTTCCATCCACTCCATCAACTTTGAATTACAGTACCTCTAAGAAGGGTACAACAATTTTAAAAAAATGATCTTATAAGAATAATCATGACATTTTAAAAACTATGTGTATATATATCATTTATCAATATATCATTAATTACAAAAACACATATAAATAATAGAGAAATGAGTAGAAAAATACATGCAAAAATATTAACCATGATTTTTTCTTTGCACAAAAATATTATGAGTGATAATTTGCTTCTTCAGGCTTTTAATTTCCTAATTTCCCATGATGTACGTAAGTAAAGGAAAAACTATAAATTAAAAAGATATATAGCTCAACTCTGGATTTAAAGAATGATTTTTGCAACTGATACTTAGGCTTTTCTTGCTCCAAAGCACTCAATACCATAAACACTAAAGACTAGAGACGGTTTGTTTAATTTCTTTTATGTCTTCTCTCATGTGTTCCAAGAATCAAAATCTTAGTTCAAATAAATGGACAGAAGAAAGGTTTATTCCTCCTAAATTTAGAAATAAAAGCACAATTATGATTAGATCTCAAATAGTTGGTTTTATTAAAATTTTACAGACTCAAAGAAAACAGTACAAGTCACATGGTTTAATGTAAACAGAATGGTGTTTATACTACAATTAGGTATGAAGAGCTATGTGTAATAAAATGCAGTTCCTCTAGAGAGAAACTTTAGAATGGATAGAAATTAAGCCAAAAAGATAAACACACTTTGGGGTTTAGTTATATTTTGGAACACTGTTTATAGAATGAGAAAAATCTAACAATGTTGCCTGCAGACACAAGGCACATTCACTGATGAGACACATGGCTCATGCTGAAAACATCTGGTCTGTCAAATAGCTCCACATTTTTCAAGGCTAATTAGTATAAAACTCAGTGATTCCTTGCAACAAAGAATGTTACCTTACTTCCCCCATTATCTCTTCCCCAGCATACCCAGATTCCAACAATAACAGATCAATTAGATCATTCAAATTTCTACTATATTTCAATATCAATGGCAGATAAACAATGACAGCTAATAAACACCTGTATAACAGCCACCAAAAGAAAAAAAAATTCTATTCCAGTGGTCATGGACATCCCATGCTAGATTCTGACTTTACTTTTGACAACTTCCAAACATTAAAACTGAATCCAAAGCCAAATTTCTAAGTTTCATTTGCATGTGTGTTTAATCTCTTTTACCCTCTTGCAGAGCCCCTAATAGAGATATCAGCATAAATAAACTAAAGGAAATATAAAGCAGAAAATAAAAAGCAAGAAGGCAGAAGGAAATGTCTAAATAATACTATAAGCAGATAAATAAGGTACAAATAACCTAGACAAAGTTGAATACCATCTTTTTTTTTAAAAGAGACAGAGAGAGAGAGAATTTTTTAATATTTATTTTTTAGTTTTTCGGTGGACACAACATCTTTATTTTATTTTTATGTGGTGCTGAGGATAAAACTCAGTGCCCCACACATGCCAGGCGAACGCACTACCGCTTGAGTCATATCCCCAGCCCTTGAATGCTATCTTAACTAGAGGAATGTTGATGGAAGCAAGTCACAACTATAATAATTCTTTTTTAATCTAGAGTATGATTAAACTATGAAATAAAAGCTTTTAACTTAGGAAAATATTAATTCCTTTCCTAATCAAAGAGTATCATTCACAAAAACTTCATCCTTTCTATATGCTAAAGATAGGCAGTCAGATATCTTTCTTTTGGGAGCATAAAACCCAGTAGTACAAATAGTATTTATAGTTTTAAAACAAAACAAAATTAGGCTTCCAGCCATAAAGGCATAACAAGAAACAGACATGACCTCCCAGTTTATAAACAAGTAAAGTACAGGCTAAAACATGCAAAACAACTGTTTTCAGTCATTTGGCTTCAGGCAACACAGAATTATGATATCCAAAAAAGGGGGGGATCACGGTGAGTTTTAGAGAGTTATTGTTGTTTGTTTTTTGTGTTTGTTTGTTTTTGTTGTTTATTTGCAGGGGGATAGTGCTAGGGCTGGAACCCAAGGCCTCCCACATGGTAGGCAAGTACTCTACCACTGAGCTATACTCCCTAGCACCTACAATGCGAATTTAATAATCTCTGAGCTGTCTACCTAAAGGTGATTTCGAAATCATGAATACAGTCAGAGAAAACCAAACACAGCCCAGCCCAGCAGATTTGTTGTCTCTCAGGAAGGTGAGAGCAGTTTAAAGGAAGAAATTTGGAAAAAAAAAAAAAAAACTATAAAGGGGTTCCTTGAATCTTTGCCAGCTGTAGGAAAAGTGAAATACCACATGGACAGATAAAAAGAAGGAAAGGGGAATAACAGAGGGAAGAGAAATGGAAATACTGACAGGGAGTAAAAGCTGAAGACTTCAAGAAGTTCAGACAAACAGGGAAACATCTTAACTCTGAAGAGCCAAATGAAGAGTTCTGAGGGACTGCTCAGTATTCAGAGTAGATTATAGAGGAATGATGTCTTATTTAGTAAAACTAACTCACTTTGGAATGAAAGTGAGCATAAAGATGGGGGTCTGAGGGATCAAAGTAATCTACACACATAACTGTTTGAAAAATAAAATCCAACACTAAGGAGAAAAAAGTTTCCCAAAATCCAGCCACTCATCAATATAATATCATGATGTTCATTAGTCACTCAAAAATTACTAGACATAACAACTCACCTATAACTTTAATAACCAAATCAGTCTCCATAAGGAGATTCAAAAAAGCTAGAAGTGGCAGAACTTGGAAAGAAGCATATGAAAACAGCTATTAGAACTGTGTATTTAAAGAAAGACACAAAAATGATGACAAGAATAAAATATTTTTTAAGAGAGAGAGAGAGAGAATTTTTTTAATATTTATTTTTTAGTTTTCAGCGGACACAACATCTTTGTTTGTATGTGGTGATGCGGATCGAACCCGGACCGCACGCATGCCAGGTGAGCGCGCTACTGCTTGAGCCACATCCCCAGCCCATAAAATATTTTTTTAAAAAATACAACTTCTAAACATGATTGGTACATATAAATATAGCAATAACATTTACTGTAAATAGGTAGTAGGCAGATGGGGTGGGGGGTCTTTAAATCACTTTTGTGATTATATCAATCTGTCCAACATAGATATAACTGGAGTTCCAGAATGACAATGGGAAAAGGACCCAAAAAATGTTTTGAAAAATAACATCTGAGCTGGGCATGGTGGCACACACCTGTAATCCCAGTGATTCAGGAGACTGAGGCAGGAGGATTGCAAGTTCAAAGCCAACCTCAGCAACTTGGCAAGGCCCTAAGCAACTTAGGAAGACCCTGTGTCAAAATAAAAAATGAAAAGAGCTGGGAATGTGGTTCAGTGGGAAAGCACCCCTGAGTTCAATTTCTGGTGAGAGAGAGAAAGAGAGAGAGAAGAAAAGTAACATCTAGACATTTTCCAGATTTTATGAAAACTATAAACATACAAATCCCAAAAGCTAAACAAACCACAAGCAGGAAAAAATACATATATCTAAGCACATTAACACATATTTATACAAAAGTGCAACAAAATTGAATTGCTAAAAACAAATAACATCAAAAGCTTTAAAACGACTGGAGGAAAAGACATATTACATACAGAGAAACAAAAGTTAAATTGTCATATACCTCTTTTCAGAAACTACACAAGCCAGAAGACAATGAAATGATTTCTTATCAACTAATGAAGGTTTAAAGCTAGAATTGCATACCCATCAAAATTTTTTTTCAAAAAAGGTGATCAAGAAGATAGAAAACAGTAAGTATTGACTGGGATATGCAGAAATTAGAACCCTTGTATGCTGCTGTTAAGAAGATAAAAAGATGCAGCTGCTTTGCAAGACAGTCTGGAAGGTCTACACTTCCATTCACAGGTAGAGTATATCAAGAGAACTGAAAGCATATGCCCACTTAAAAACTTACATATACAATAGCAGTATTCATAACAGCTAAAAAGTAGAAATAACCCAAATGTGCAATAAACAAAATGTAGTATATCCATACAATGAAAGAATGTTCAGTCATAAAAAGGCATAAAGTAGTGATCCATGCCATATATGGCTGAATCTTTTTATTTATTTGTTCTAATCAGTTATACATAACAGCTGATTCATTGTACACAAATGGAGCTCTTTGATTCATTGTACACAAATGGAACACAATTTTTCAATTCTCTGGTTGTACATGAACTAGGGTCACACCATTCATGCAATCATACATGTACCTAGGTTAACAATGTCTGCCTCATTCTACCATCTTTCCTATCCTCATGCCCCCTTTCCTCCCATCCCTCCCCTTTGCCCAATCCACAGTTCCTCCACTCATCTCATGCTCCCCCACCCCATTGTGGATTAGCATCCACCTATCAGAGAAAACATTCAGCCTTTGGTTTTGGGGGATTGGCTTACTTCACTTCAGAATGATATTCTCCAATTCCATCCACTTACCTGCAAATGCCATAATTTTATTCTCTTTTATTGTTGAGTAATATTCCATTGTGTATATATACCACAGTTTCTTTATACATTCATCTATTGAAGGGCACCTAGGTTGGTTACACAGTTTGGCTATTGTGAATTGTGCTGCTATAAACATTGCTATAAACTATAAAAATTGTGTTGCATCACTGTCGTATGTTATTTTTAAGTTCTTTGAGTATAAACTGAAGAGTGGGATATTGGGTCAAATGGTGGTTCCATTCCAAGTTTTCTGAGGAATCTCCATACTGCTTTCCAGAGTGGTTGTACCAATTTGCAGTCCCACTACCAATGTATGAGTATACCTTTTTCCCCCACATCCTCGCCAACACTTATTGTTTCTTGTCTTCTTGACAACTGCCATTCTGACTGGAGTGAGATGAAATCTTAGTGTAGTTTTGATTTACATTTCCCTAATTGCTAGAGATGTTGAACATTTTTTCATATATGTGTTGATCAATTGTACATCTTCTTCTGAAAATTGTCTGTTAATTTTCTTAGCCCATTTATTGATTGGGTTGTTTGGGCTTTTGTAGTGTTAAGTTTT